CTTATCGACTCAGCATTTATTTCTTCATCCCACAGTTCAAACATATGAAATTCATATATTCATCATGTCATCTTTTCCGGGTATATTAATATTACGAACCCATTTAATGGCCAGCTTCCAGTTGGCTACACCGGCATCTTAGAGGTCAGGGTTCGAATCGACTCGAGTCCCGGTAAGCTTGATTTTTTAAGGCTTTTAGCCTTTCTTTTCTCAACTGCATAAGTTGCGTATTTAGCCGTGATGATCTCCGTATCTACTATACTTCTTCATTTCGCAGTTAAAATATATGAAATCCTGATGAAATTCATATATTTATAGAAAACAAAATAATTGCATGGAGTTATAAGTCACTCTTGACAAACAGCCCTTCACAGGTTCCTACACTAAACTAATCGATCACACAATGAAACTATCTCTATATCAGGATGGGAGTAGCTGTTCACTCAGCATGGACAAATTGTGATTTTCTTCCCAGTTTCCAAATATTGAACTGCCACTGCTATGCTTGGAACAACTCGGACATGACCTATTGACTTCTACTTTCCAATTAAATACAAAAGAGCTAGTCTGTGATCATCATACCAGGAGACCTGACTTGTCCCTAGTCATCTCTCACTGTCTCTCTTAAGTGGCGCGCGGGGTGTGATGGGAAGGAGGAAATCAAGAGAGAGAGAGAGAGGGCCTACTCCTGCCGTGCGCGTTACGCGCGAAGACGAACGAAGGCGAGTCAGCTATTGAAACAAAGAGCCAAACACCGATTCACGCTTGGAAGGCCTAAATGCCCTAAATCGGGAGCCCATGAACATAGGCTCCTGCCTTTGATTGGGCTTCAATGTTTTGACGTCACGTTAACGTCATAAATGACGTAGTAACATGTCATTAAAGGGGCTGTGTCATGGCTGTCTGCTTCATCATGTTAATGTTGCCAATTATCGCATTCACTTGAATAAACGCCGCCCCGACTTAGCGCCCGGCGCCTTCGATTAATCACCGCCCTCGAATAAGGGCTGCATTTGGGAGAAAAAAGTTTTTAAGCGCCGCCCCCGAATAAATGCTTCGTTGGCGTTCATCAAAAGAGATACCGGTGACAATAAACTCAATTGCCTTATTAAAAAAAAAGGTCTGTGGAAAGTGTTCAATGTCATTTTGTTGTTGTTGTTGTTGTTTACAAAGTACAGTCAACTCTCGCCTTGCGGACACTACGGACACCCCGCTAACACGGACAGCAGCTCACACCTGTATCGGTAATATCGCTAATAATAAGGGACGGACCATTAGAAAACTTATTGGGGGAG